GAATGAAGATGAAATTCTGGGGAATATATTGCTTTTTCTTTTTTTTTATTTGCCGCTGTTTGCTTTGTATTTCTTTTTTCTTTTTACTTATTTTATACTCAACGGCTGTGGCTGCCCCTTGTTTGAGCCCACTTGAAGTCTTGTGTGATTGGGATTTTGGGACGCTTCTCATGGCCCCACACATTAATGTTATCCATAATTTTCCAACGAAAAAAAAAAGAAATAATTTATTCTCTTTCTAGGATTTGATTATGAGATTTCGGTTCTCAAATCACTTCATTGATCACTAAATCACGTCTTTGAGACTTATAAGTGCGAGAATAGAGTTAGCTTTTCGATTGTAGGTTCGGCTAAACCAAAATCTTTAGTCCAAACTCTGTATTTATCTTAAAAGTGATTATGTATAAGATTAATAATTTAGAACCCTAATACTAAAATCTCAAACTTATAAGCTTCAAGTTCTAGCTCTGTTTAAAGTTATTGTATTTAAAGTAAAGATACAATAAAATCTGAAACAAGTTTGAAAGGTTGTGGACTACAAAATATTTTACTAGTAGTAAGGCCTAAAAAAGATCAAGAAATATACACTCGAACACAGGGGCGGCCCGATGAGTTTTGTGGCTTAAAGCCAAATTTTATGAGGGACCTTAATTTTTTTTAAAAATATATATATTTATTTATTTATTTGAAGTATATTTTTGTAGTGTTCCTTAGATACAAAATTATTAATAACTTTCTAATAATCAATAACTCCTAATAAGTCCTTTTTAATTAACAATGTGGCTAATCCATTTAACTTTTATTGAGACATTGTTGATCTTAGGTGAGATTTTATCAATTTTAATTTTGAAAAATCTTTCCGCTGAAACGACGGAAACAAGAGTTATTAATATTATTCCACAAGTAATATATGCATTGGAAAAAGAATCAAATTTTTTTATTTGACCGAGTGTATCAATTAAAATGTTATCTTCTAATTGTACTATTTTTCTTAATATTTTTAATTACGAAAATAAATCTAAACCATCAATATTGAATTGATTATTATGCTTTAAGGAACATTCAACATTACGGCAATTTTTTCCAGATTTTTATCATCTAGTGATCCTAATTTTACCGCGAAATACAAAACCAAAAATATTTTCATATGCTTCGAATTGCTCAAATCTATTTTGAAGTGAAAAAAATAGTCTTGTCTACTATGTATAAAGTAATCAACTCCAAAGGACTCTTCCAAAGATTTTGAGATTTTATTATCAGCATTCTCGTCAAATTTTTACTTCCTATATATCATGTGTTTCTTATGAAATTCGGGTTTGATATTCATTTCAAGTGTAATTTTCTTGGTAGAAATCGTAACGGACATTGCAATTCCTTCTTCTCTATACTTGTTAAAGAAAGAAATCAAACTTTTTCACTTTACAGTACCTTTTTATAAACTTATACATAGCCTGTTAAATATAACAAAAAATGGGTCCCTCATAAATGTGGGGCTTAAAGCAATTATTTTACTTGTTTTATGGAAAGACCGCCCCTGCTCGAACATGACAACTTTTATTTAAGAATTTTTACACCCTATAGAAAACCTTAGTACCCTATTTATTTTAAATAAATACCATTTTAAAATATTACATCCTATAGATACCTTTTATACTTTATAGCCAAATATCTAATTATAGTTACATCCTACATTTAAGGCACCATATATGCTAAATAATATTTTTCTCTCTCCTTTTTAGTCTTTTCTCTCACATAATCACAGTAAAATTGACTAACCACGTTCTCTCTCTTTTTGCATACACTTTACTCTTTCTCCCTCAACCCACGATTCATACCTCTCCTCCCACCCAAATTCTCTAGCTCTCCTCCATTATCATTCCATTACAATCGTCTAGGGTAAGTTTAATTCATTGATTTTGATAGACGAAGAGCAATTGGTTCAACTGTAGCGGCTAGATTCTGCTTGGCAGTGGTCGTTGAAGTAGGGTTCACAACTTTTGCGTAATTCATGGCTTCGTTTGTGGGATTTGAGGGTTGGGGATTGTTTGTAGTTGTTGTAGGAGGTTGGGCAGATGTGTTAAGGGGCTGACCAGCCGGAATTAATGGCTGGCCGCCGGCCGGCGAAGCCATCAGGCTGCTTGTATTCAGTCGTATTCGAATGTATTTTTCAGCTGTATTCACATGTATTCAGTAGCATTAATTTATATATTTTAGATGTATTAAAAAGTTATGCGTATTCTATTGTATTCAGTTTTAATCAGTTGTATTTAACTATTTTATTCAGCAGAAGTTAGTTGTATTTTGTTGCATTCAAGAGTTTTATTCAGCTGTATTTAGTTGTATTTTGTTGTATTCAAGTGTTTTATTCAGATGAATTAAGTTGTATTTTGTTGTATTCAACTGTATACAGTCCTACTCAACTGTATTATTCATATGTATTTCTCTTTATTCAACTATAATCTTTATTGTGTATCTTTCAAATACAGATTAATGAGGGATCGTTTTAGTTCGTTGAGTTAAATTAGGAGAATATCATGTGATTTGATTTCCTTAGTTCGTGGAGTTAAATTAGGAGAATATCATGTGATTTGATTTCCTTAATTCGTGGAGTTAAATTAGGAGAATATCATGTGATTTGATTTCCTTCCGTTTTTAACCAGTTTAACCTTCTGTATTTAACGTTAATGTCGCTTGAATACAGCTAAATACATGTCAAACTTAGCTGGAATTCCAGTTTTTACGCCTATTTTTTTGGTTGTAGTAATGAATACAACAGCTTAAATACATAAAATATATTGTATAAAAACATAAAAGGTATCTATAACACGTAATATAGCAAAGAGTATCTATAAATGGCTAATTAGACTTAAAAGATGGTGCTTTATGAAAAATTCCCTTTTATTTATGGATGCGTGATAATTAAGGATCTAATCAATGAAGAAAAATTAGGACTTTTTTCACTTTTAGCCCGCACCAGAAATTATTTATATTTGATAGCTGAAAGTATATATAAAATCTATATAATTTTTGTATACAACATAAAGAATATATATATATATATATATATATATATATATATATATATATATGTTTGTGTGTGTGTATGTGTGTGTGTGTGCGCAGAGGCGGACCCAGGATTCGAGCACGACAGGAGCACCATTGTATGCTAATTACTAGCGATAAAATTTGGTGGGGCAACTCTTTGAATACTTAATGTTTATGATGACTTATCATCCAAGTATAAATAAATAAAATTCTAAAGAAATAGAAATCATCAAACAAAGAGAGAGATTTATTCGCAAAATAGGTGCTACGGAAAGTGAAGGTATTTGATTTAAGATTGTTTCAAACTTTAAAATTTCTAGCTTTTTCTCAGTTAATAAGGGGTCTATGATCAAAAAGGTGTTCAAACTTCAAAAATTATCAAAAAACATACTAAACAAATCTAGATTAATAGTGTGCTAATAGTTACAGAACTGAAGAAAAGTCTCAAACTCTTAATTAGTTGTCATTGTTGAGCCAGAGTTGACGGATATCCGCTACTTTGTCAAAGTGATTTTTGAAGAAAGTTGTGGCAAAAGAATTTGTATTTTTCTACTTCTGAAGCGCGATATATTACAATTTGAGACTTTTAATTTTAAGGGAGAGATTTGAAAAAGAAAAAAAGTTAAGTTGACTATTATGTGTACAGATTAGTTGAATTAAAAGAAGTAAACTAAAAAGAGGGGAGAAAGAGATAATGGGTTTTGAACCCACGACATCTAGCAAAAGTCGAAACTTAAGTTCTCCACAAAACCGCTCCTTTAGTTTACCTTTTTGAATTTGAGGGCACACGAAAAATATTTAAGGGGTCACAGCTGTATGCAAAGAGATATATATACATCATTTTTGTCGAGGCTAACGGGGTCTCGTGACCCCTCAAGCCTCAACGTAGGTCTGCCTCTGTGTGTATATATATGTGTGTGTACATACATACATATATTTTTTTGTGTTATTTTGAGAACGATATGCTTGGAGAGTATGTCTACAACATGGCTTGTTCACGAGTTAACAACTAAAACTGTTGAGGCTGCTCTTCAAATTTAAGGCTCATTTGGTACAAGGTATAATGGATAATTAATCCCGAGATTAAATTTGAGATGAATTTATCCTATATTTGGTTGAAATAAAATTGCGGTATAACTAATCCCGAGATTAGTTCCTGGAATTGTAGTGTTTATTTATCCTTGGGAGGGTAAATAACTAATTCTGGGATAACCAATTCCGAGATAATTGATTCCGAAATAACTTGTTTCCAACCAAACAACCCCTTAGTCTACTAGATTGAGGTTCAAGTTGCAAATGAACTTAGTTATTTCTTAAATATTTTCACTTTCTTCACGAGAACCTAATTGGGATTGAGGGCTAACTCACTTAGTATCTTTCCTGTCTTCCACAATTGAGGTGAAAGATTCAAACCCCTTTCCCTTTTCCCCTCCCTTCTCCCTCATGTAACTTTAAAAAAAAAAAGATCCTATTTCAAGGGTGTGATGTAGACAATCTGCTATAATTCAACGGCTTGAACTCATGAACTATAAATTTCAACACTCCGTTCAACACTCACGCAAGTTGTTTCACGCAGAAGAGATGGCCAATTAATACGTGACAACATGAACACTTATGTCCCGAAGGGACGGCCCAGTTGGGTTTGTAGGGCGCTGGTCACACGGGCGACGCGGGTTCGAACCACCTCAATACCGCTCTGGATCTGAGCCTGTCGCATGGGGCTTGCCTAGTGCGGTTTAAATCCCTTGTGTGGTTTGCAGGCTATTACACAGTGGGAGTTTACCCAGTGCGCACAAAGTGCTCTCCACAGAGTGCTCACCCGAAGGGCAGAGGCTATGGCAGAAGCTGTAGCGACTGCGGGTTCGTTTTCTGGGGTTCCCAAAAAAAAATATGAACACTTATATAATGCTCTTCTTTTTCCTTTTTTTTTTTTTGCGTAAAAAATACTGCTATATTACACTTTAGTGATAGTACATAATCATATTGCCTTTCCTAGTATACATAGTCACTTGACATTTTTGTACAAAGACACCTACTAAGAAATGGAGAGAACACCCCTAGTTCTATATATGCAACTAATACTATACTTCATTCTTTTCCTCCTTACCATTTCTCTTCACCTATAATATATATACCAGGTGTTTAAAGCAATATATGCAGCTAACTATCTATAGGGTTATATATATTTTGGCTTGAGTTATTCAAAATCATATACATAAATCATAATATGTACATAAGTATATATATGTAGTATGTTATGCATGTATAACATAGCACTGTAGTAACTCATATTCCTCCTGTCTGTCGGAGCTGGCTTCAAATCTTGACTCTGCCTCTGATGCGTGCCCATAGACATGAAAAAAATAATCAATCTAGATGAATTCTGCAAATCAAACAATGAAGGTTCGTTAAGAGAGAAACAACAACAACAACAACAACAACCCAGTATAATCCCACTTAGTGGGGTCTGGGGAGGGTAGCGTGTACGCAGACCTTACCCCTACCCTAGGGTAGAGAGACTGTTTCCAAATAGACCCCTGACATCCTTCCCTCCAAGAACTTCCCACCTTGCTCTTGGGGAGACTCTAACTCACAACCTCTCGGTTGGAAGTGGGGGTTGCTTACATAGAGAACAACTTTCCAATAATATAGTACATAGAAATAACTATATTTCACGAAAAAATAACTTTAACTTAATGTATAAAAATTATAATTGATTCACTAAATCTCATACAACAACAATTATTAAGCCTCAATTTCAACCTAGTCGGAGCGAGCTACCTAAGCATCGTTATCCATTTAGCTCTGATCCATTTTGACGTTCTTTATATTTTCTACTGACATACAAATCCCCCACAATATCAAAAGACTCTTAGGAAATATATTTCGCGTACCAAACTTCTTAATTTATTTTTATTACAAGTAATCTTGTTACTTACCTGTTAAGCACAGTAATTTGGCATTTGGGTGAAGTTCCATTTTCCATTTGCTTCAAGCTCAAACCTCCACAACTTACTCTAACTCCAATTGTTTCACTTTTCCAACCACTAAATCCAATTCCAAAACCAGTTCCAACATCAGCAGAAACCTTCAAACTCTTGTTCTTTAATCCATCTCTTACTTTCGCAACATTTTCGCTATATAACAATTCATTCATATTAATATCAAATTTAACCACTGTCACATTCTTCGTCCCCTGGACGAAGCCTGGAACGTTTCCATTACCCAAAGTAACACCATCTTCGTCTTTCAATTCTATGTTTGTTTTTTCATATATAATCTTGAGCTGTTTATTTGGATTTTTTAGCTCTACACTAACTGTTGCTTGTGCACTCAATTTAGGCCCGTCTGGACTGTCTGTGATATTAAATTTGGTGAATTCGAGGGATTTTAAGTGGAAAATAGGGAGTTTTGGATCAAACCATAGATAAAGAATGGCACCAACAGCAATAAATAAGAGGATTAAGAAAATTAAGATGATGAAGAAGTAACAACAACAGCAGCAGCAGAAACTCCTTTTACGCGAATTATTTTTTTCTGGGTAAAATGGTGATTGTGGCGGCCGTTGAATTGGTATTCCAGTTTCTCTATAACCAGGTGGCTTCTGCAAAGGTTTTCTCATAGACATTCTTCGAAATTCCTCGCTTTATTTCTCTCTGTTTCTGCATGTGGATTCAAATTTGATATTGATCACCATGTTTTCAGGTATAAAACGTCGAAAACATAGTTAAGTAAATAAAAATATATTTTTTTAGGTTATCATACTCTTTAACATGATATCAGTGTAGGCGGAGATATTTGATTGGAATCTCACTTTTATTTAGCATTAAAAAAGAATTTTTACGTGTTTGACTTATGAAAAAAAAAAACAAGCTAACGCGTAAAGCTTGCCACATGATATAAAAATAAATGAGACGTGAGGGGACGTATTGAAAACTTAATTAAGAAAATAAAAGTCATGTGGTTATTTTAGCGACTTAAGTTTTCAAATGAAATGGTCAGATTTTCCAATATAGATGAAAATTTGTATATACTAGCTTCAAATATGCATGATATGAAATTGTTATAGAATGAAGAAGCATTTCTTTTGTTGAATTATGTTTTCAGCAGGGGGCGGAGCTAGCATAGCATTTGGGGGTTCGGCTGAACCCAATTATTTTAGTCCAAAACTTATATTTGTCTTAAAAAATTCATTGAATATGTATAAATTGTTAATTTAAAACCCAATAACATAATGGGATGCAGTTAGAATTGTTGAAAGAAAGAAATTTTTCAAAGAATGCAAATAACATTGTGTATCAAACCAAAGAAATTAAAGATGAAAATGTGGGGTTAAAACAAACATAAAAATGAATCAGAGATAAAACCTGGGAGCACTTGATTTCATTGTTGCATTTTATTTGGATATGATATCATGTGTAAAGGTTGAACCTTTATATAAATTTGAGAGATCAAATATGAATCTTGAGGTGGCAATAATAATTGAAGAAACCACAAAAAAAAAGAATAAACTTGGGTTTTGGAGAAGAGATTTTTTTTAAAAAAAAATTTTCCTTTTTCTTTTGTAGGATATTTCTGCTGAGGTAAAATGAGGAAATGGAGGAAAAAGGTTTCTGGTAATGACCAAGACAGGAACCAGATAATTTGTTGGGGATTAAGATTAAATAGCCGAGATTTACGCGCAAAGGTTTCGACTAGATTAAAGACAAATTAAGAAACTTAAATTATCCCCAAAGTCTTATGTTTATTCTTTTTTCTCGGCCAAACTTTTATTTTGCTAGTCTCTCACCTCGGGTATATTTAGTCATGTAATACACAATTTTGTAAAATACTATCAATATTGTTAGAACAAAATTTTGAGTAAATAATTATATACGAAAGAGCAAACATACGAATTTTTATGAATGATTAATATTGTGGTGATTTGTTGTCGAGGTACAAGGATAGCCCAATACGCAAAGCATTTTATATTCACGCAGGGTGGGGGAAGGCACTCCAAAGGGGTATGATATAGACAGCTTAGCCTAATGCAAGCATTAATGCTGGTTCCACGATTCGAATCAGAAGCATCGAATGAAAGATTTTTTCCAAGACCATTTGGATGGGTCATAACTTATACATAGGACAGTCTCTGTAAGAAGGACCTGTTTACTATAGTCAGTGCGTAAGATTTGTAGAATTAATTATGCCTTTCTGCCTATCGTTGTAGAAGTTGTTCCTAGAAAGATTATGGGTCTGAAGTATCTAATCAATTAATCCTATGACCTATAGGTCACACGGAAACAACGTTATCATTACTCTAAGGCTCCTTCGTTGTCTCAGTGTATGGAGATTACAAATCATTCCTCTTAGGAGTAGTTGTAAGAATTACCTCAACAGGAATTGATGGAATTGAACCTATAAGTTCTAATAAATTAGGTTTAAATAGAAGCATGAAGATGAAAGATTAAGCTTAATTTTAAAATTGAAACCGAATTGACAGGTCAATGTTATTACATTGATAATTGGGAGTTGGAGAAAAACTGAGTAATACCAAGAATGATAGAGACGTTAAAAGGCAAAAGAATTAGAATATGCATGAAAGGTCACGGGTTCGAGCCGTACAAACAGCCTCTTGCAGAAATACAGGGTAAGGCTGCGTACAATAGACCCTTGTGGTCCGGTACTTCTCCGGACCCTACGCATAGCGGGAGCTTATTGCACCGAGTTGCCCTTTAATCAATGTGAAGAATATTTTTCAACAAAGGCATCAGTCATATCACAAAGATCACTTGTTCACTGCTTCCATAGGCAATACTTTCAGACATCCAAACCAAAATCTTTTCACTCCTCAGTCAAGTTTTCTAGTGTGATTAACATTAACAATTTAAATAAGACCATGCAATATGGCACTCTGAAGTAAATGGGGGAGGGGGGAGGAGCATTCCTCAGCTTCCATTGCTAAGTTACAATTAGGTAAAATTAGAGTTTCTGATGTTTAATAGTCCTATTCTGCATTTCTGTACTGTACTTCTGCGCGTTAACAGTAAGTTTGAAACTTGCACCAAAATTACACAATCAAACTATACTTCAAGATCTCGAACCAGGGGATCACGGTTGTGACTATGGATCATCTAGCAGCCACAGCATCAGTTCTGCGGCTAGCATCAAGAAGTTGATGAAGCTTTGCTCCTGAGGCATTATTCTCTCGAATTTCACTATCTTCGTTGGTTCTATCCAACAGACCAGAGTTGTTGACTCTTGCTAATAGGTCTGCTGTGCTAATGGGTTGCAACCTCTTATCATCAATCTTACCAAAAGTTACCTCTTCTGCATTTCCTCGTTGTTTATTTTTCAGTCTCTCCTGCGCAATCCAGACCATATTTAACAAGCCCGAACAATGAATATACATATCACCACCAAATTGACGAAGAGTACTCAACAAAGAAACAAAGTCATACCATTAAAGCGGCATTTTCAAGCTTTAAATTCTCAGAGTTTTCAATGAATTTATTTATCTCCGATTTGAGTCCTAAATTTTCAGAGGTTAAAGATTTAACTCGTATTGCCAAATCTTCAGCTTCTGCCTGGGAGGGAGGAGGGAAATAAAGAAAGTACATGTATCAGAACTAGTATATAAAGCAGTAAAACGTAGGCCATATATTAAGATTCAATCAAAAGATAAATATTCTATAATGTACACATTTCCTCTCTTACCTGTTTTCTCAACCTTGATCTCCTTGCTGATTCCCTATTAGACTGCTTCCTCTTCTCCCGCTTGATCTCACGTTCATTCTGAAATTATAGTTTCNATGGAGCAACCAGAAGGATTTGAAGTAGCTGGAAAGAAACACATGGTGTGCAAATTGAATAAGAGTCTTTATGGATTGAAGCAGGCACCAAGGCAGTGGTACATGAAGTTTGATTCATTCATGAAAAGTCAAACATACCTAAAGACCTATTCTGATCCATGTGTATACTTCAAAAGATTTTCTGAGAATAACACATTTAACTATAAGAACGTAAACACAGTTCTCACCAAATTCAACAACAACAACCAAGTGAAGTCCCACAAGTGGGGTCTGGGGAGGGTAGCGTATACGCAGACCTTACCTCTATCCTGGGGCTGGGAAGGTAGAGAGACTGTTTTCGATAAACCCTCGACTCGAGAAAGATGAAAAGAAACGGTAGCAACAATGCAGACACCGAAGTTCAAGTACAAAAATGGATACCGAAGTTTATGTCAAAATAAGCATGCAAAGTTCACCTGGTTCATGTATGTACCTGTAACCAGACTTCGCCCGGCACTGCAGGACTGATTCGTGAAACATTAGTTGGACTAGCTTTCACTAGTGTACCGACAGGATTTCTCAGTTCTAGAGTAGGAGTCATGGTTGGAGAAAATACTGTTCCGACTACTTTCTCTGCTATGTTACCATGACTAACAGCTATAGAAGTTTCCTTCTTGCTAGCCCCATTTACTTCCCTAGGTTGTGGACTGCTTCGTGTCCGAGTCTTTCCATCACCAGCTGTTAAAAGTTTGAAGAACAGAGAGATCAAAAGATGAAATCAGGCAAATTTGGACACAAAGTGAAAAAGAGACCAAACTCTTACAGTCGTTAGGAGTTGTCTCGCGGCTTCTTTTCTTACTGTTCTCACCCACCTAGAGCATGAAGAGAAAAAATCAGTTTCCAATACAAATTTAAAAAAAAAAAATTTAAATGAGACAAATGGATTTATAGATCTCAGAAGATCATACCTCTGCTGTGTGTATGTTACTTCCGTCACTTGAACCTTCAGTTTGCCCACTGTCACGACATGAAATCTAATAATTAGTCAATAACTTAAACAGGATTACAAAGTGTTCTCCAGAATGTAAGGACTGGGTATTTGCAAATATTCTATTTATATGAGTCGAGCATGGTTCTTAAATAACTAAATATTGCACAAACCTCTGAGAAGCTCCATAGTCAGTGCCATCGCCATTGTCAACACTGCGATTTCCTATTGACATTCCAAGCCCATTAGAACCTTTTAACTTACTCGTGCGTTGATCAGTATTCTCCGAAGACTTAGCAGAAGTGTCCATACTCAAAGTGGCAGCATCCTACACAATGTAGAGTGATTTAGCTTCAATCCCACCATTAGGCAATACATCGAGCTAAAGGAAAGAATATTTTATCAGCATACATTTCCGGAACAAATAAGTTCACAAACACTGAAAGAACTAAAAGTAATATATACCATGGTTTGGCTGACAGCAGGAGATGATGTCATTCCATGAGCCTGAGGACGAGACACCTGGAATCAGATAAACAGATATTCCATAAATTGAGCATGCTCCACGTTTTAGCCACAACTCTTTGGCGCTAGAGTTACATGTTACAGTAACTCTCCGTAAACATACAGTCATAGATTTAATATTAAGATGACAAAACCAAGTATATTCAGAAATTATAAGATCCTTATATTTTATTTTATTTTTTATAAGAAATCAGTTCCCTATGTTCCATATAAAATTTTAACTTGAGATAACACGTACATCCTACCAAGTGAAAATGCCCCAATCGCACAAAGAAAAAGGAACTGGTAAAGGTGGTTCGAGTTTTCATATGATACCCTCTACCGATGATCACTATTCACTTGAGCCAATCTGTTAACTAATCTTTAAAATTAATAATCGAGATGCGCTTCTCTTGCTCCATCATATTAAAGAACACAGAAAATACACCAACTTCTTACCAACGGATGAGCAGTAGACTTCTAAAGTGTAGATACTGGAATTTGTTGTTGGCCAGGGCTTAATTCTAAATCAGTTAGCTGCTTGTTTTTCACTCTCGATCTATTGTTCAAAATAGTTATAACTTCATTCTAGTTCCCAGATACTTCTTCTCGTTCCTTTAAGAAATTAGCGGGTCTAGCTCAATATGTTATAAGTTGTTTACCAATGCCCTAAGTAGGAATCAAAAAGCAGTTATGATATCGAAAAAAGAATGGAAATGCTGGAATGGAGACTTACGATAGGAACTCCAGGATGCGCATAAACACCACCATGCGTGTAGATTCCTGCATATGGTGCACCATAAGGTGGCATCATAGGCTATAAAAAAAGGAGAATCTCGGTTAGCACTAATGCAGCCAAAGCCCGATAATCTATTACCTAACACTTCGATTAAACGAATCGCAAAAATTATTAAGAAAGATTCGGCCTGGAAAATACCTGTAGCGGTCCCCACATATAAGGATGAGGAGCATGACCAGGTGCAACAGGAGAATTAACATAAGGAGGTACAGCTACTCGAGGACCATAATATGCCTGAACATTTAACTGGATTACGTTAAATATCAACAACCACTAGAGCTACTGTACGAATATCTAACAAAAAAGGGGCAGCCGGTGCACAAAGCATCCCACATTCACGCAAGGTCAGGGGAAGGGCGACACCTCGAGGAGTGTCATGCGGATAGCCTACCCTAATGAAAGCATTAGTGGGTGCTTCTACGGCTCGAAACGGCGACCTATAGGTCACACGAAGACAACTTTACCGTTGCTCCAACACTCCCCTTCTAAGAATATATCTAACAGTAAGGCGAAAAATGATTAACCTGCATAGCCGCCCAATCAGGATACACGTGAATACTGCTCTGGTCCTGTCAATACAAGAATAAATTTTCCAACTACTCAGAGACTAATTTCAAAGAAGAGATTAACAATAACCACAGATACTCTGAAGCATAGGAGAACAATGTCAAACACACAATACAGATTGAACAATAACTATTACTGTATTCGCTTACTGGTGCGGTCGAAGATGATTTCTCAGGCTTACAAGATTTTCCTTCCTTGCTATTTCCCATGTATCAGAAAGCAACTAGATGCTCTACTAATTACTGCTGAACTGATTACTTCCTTTCGTCGCTACCGACCGAGATTATTATGCCAACTGCATAAAATACAGCCCTGTTAAACAATGAGCAACAAAATTTCACAAGACCAAAGATGGCATAAAAAAGCTTCCCTCTTTCTTAATACAAGTATGGTCTAATCTAAAGTATCATATACACGGGCGAAGCTATGTATGGCTAAGGGTGGTCAACTGAACACCCTTCGCCGCCGAAAACTTATACTATGTATAAGGTAAAATATTACTACTTGTTATTGATTAAAAAATAGACTTTGAACATCCTAGTATGCCCACTAACAAAGGGCGTTCAAAATTTGAATACCCTTATTGAATTTCCTGCTTCGCCATTGAATTCATATTAATGGTCCAATTTTCTTTTCTTATAATTAACACCTTAAAAGGATTTTCAAATATTAGCTTCTGTCCTGTAAAAATTAGTTGCTTTTTATTGATATATCTCAATCAGGAAAGAGAAGCAGGGGCATAATAGTCCATTCATAGTCTTCATCCAAAACAAAGTAAAGGGACAAACTTTAGAAAACCCAAGAATCTATAAAACAACCTAGGATGTAATGACAAACTAGTCCTCATCAACCCACATAATTTACAACTAGAAAATATCAAATAAAAGAAAAATAAAACACTGTTACATGAATTCTAAATTACATTCCTATGACTAACAAACTTTCTTAATTTCTAAGCATTTTCATATTGAAAATAAGACAGATTATATGCTACAACAGCTAAAGATAATTAAAAGTTTCTTAAACTGACGGCGTATATAAAAACTTAAAATTTTAGTTATTTATTTTCTTCATTTCACAATCATAACTCAGAAAACAGCAGAAAGTAATAATAGTACAGCAAATTCAACATAATTCACCTTCAAAAGACAACTTTTCACAAAACAACAAAAAGTAAAATTATTATAAATACAAATATGAACATGAACATACCTGAAAATATGGCAAGAGAGAGAAAATGAGAAAATTGTAGAGAGAGAAATTGAGTAAAGAAGAAGAAGAAAAGAGGGAGAGCCAAGGCAATATCCACGTCATCAAACACGTGTACGTATCTAAACCAGCTTACTCTATTATACATATAGTTTCAATTTACGTGAACTCTTGTAACTGTGCACAGAGTTTAAGAAAAGAAAGAACACTTTTTAATTTGTGGCGAAGAATGAGGCACGTATATTTTATGTGGCTATAAATCATTGCATAAAGGTAAATTGTTTCCAAATAAGGAAAGAGATCAATCTTTTTGATACGGACCAAAAAGAAAATAGGTTCACATAAATTGAAACGGATGGAGTATTATTTTGTATATACCGTAGGTAAAGGTGCTGAGTTGTTTTTATAAGGGGGGTGAGGTGGCACGTTTAAAATTCATGTATTTTATTTATTTATTTATTTCTATGTCAACTATTTATCTTACGTGTCATTCGTATACTCGAATTACGTGTTTATAACGTGGGGTCTTGTTGGCTAAATTAATTGTACCACTAGTTTTGTGTCTGACGTGGTTTGTTCTCCGAAAATTACTTAAAATGAGAAAATTAACCATATTAGATTATTCATTTCAAATCCGCCATGTAATATTGTAAACGCATCTTACAAGTATTTGCAGCCAATATAAAAAGGCAGCCCGGTGCACTTTCGCTATGCATAGGATTTGGAGAAGGGCCGGATCACGCTGGATCACAAGGGGAGTAATAAATCTGAAGGGGAGCAATTTAAGCTGTGAAAGTAATTATTAATATTAAGATATATTGTCTACATCATATTTTTTGACGTGCGGTCCTTTTTTAAACTTTACGTGAACACAGAATATTTCATTTACAATAATAAATAAACCATAAACTAAGGGGTCATTTGGCTGCAAGTATAACGCACTATAATGCGTACATAAATTTCAGTATTAGCAATACAATATTTAGTTAGCATTTTGATAGTTGTCACAACTAGTGGCGAAACCAAAAAATTCAATAAGCGTATTTAAATTTTGAACACCCTTTACTGGTAAACAACAACAACAACAACAACAATCCAGTATAATCCCACTTAGTGGGGTCTGGGGAGGGTAGTGTGTACGCAGACCTTACCCTAGGGTAGAGAGACTGTTTCCAAATAGACCCCCGACATCCTTTCCTCCAAAAACTTCCCACCTTGTTCTTGGGGAACTCGAACTCACAACCTCTCGGTTGGAAGTGGGGTTGCTTACCATCAGAGCACCCCCTCTTGTCTTAAACCCTTTACTGGTAAACTATACAAAAATATTTAAAGCCTATTTTTAATCAATAACAAGTAATACTTTATCTTATACATAATATAATTTTGTGGCAAATAGCGATCAATTAATTATCCTTGGACCAACATAGCTTTGCCCCGCGGCCACAACCAATCTGAACTGTCACTATTGAATACTCTTGAATCTTGACTAGCACTTTCTTAGTCATACAGAAAGAGGAACACGTGTAAGAAAATCAATGTGGGTCCAGAGCTAGATTTGGATGCAATGAACGGTGAAGATTGATGGACGGCTTAGCGCAGGCCACGCAAATGAGAAAGATCAAATTATATCAAGAATCTTTACCAACAAGGACAGCAAGAATGAGGAGGAAAAAAAGAATCATCGTTCTTATAATCTACTAGTATTAGTACCCGTGCGAATGTGCGGAAACTAATTATGTTAAATATTTAAGTTATTTAGATTGTATATAAATAATCTTAAAATTTATATTTTTCAGTAAATATAGATAACCATTGGATATTAATTACATGAAAAAATTAACCGTTTCTTCTATTTTTCTTTTTTGATACCATTTTTTACGGTGTCATTGGATCCTAAAAATAATAAGGAAGAAAAATAATAACTCATATTTATGGCATAACAATCAAATGTTGAGACAATGAATGACTCTTTGGATAAGATTAACTCTTTTACTACTACTTAAACTCTTTTTTGGTATGTTGATATCTCTTAAAAAATATTTCTTTCTTAAAATTTCAGTTTCTAAAACATTATTTTTCAATAATAATTATTTTTGTAATAATGTAATCGAAAATATTATTCCTAATTCAAAACTCATTTAGTTGGCTATCTAAAAATATAAAAAAATATTCTTTGGCTAGTGAATTTTTTTACTCCATTTTGATATTTGACATTAATCATGTTAATTATCTGAGTTATTTGAATTATATGTAAATAACCTTAACATTTAAACCTTCTAAATAATTATAGATAAGTCAGATATTAATTAAGAAACACTACATGAAAAAAGACTAACATTTTCTCAATTCTTGTAGTGATAATTTTATTTTTGCATTATTCTCATAGGTGTCATTGAAACCTAAAAATAGCCATCAAGTGAAATAATAACTCATATTTATGGCAAAGCACAAAGGTTGACACGATATAAACGATTTTTTGATTACGACGTGACTCCTATACTACGACTTGAGCTCCTATTTGATATGATTTTATCTTTCAAAAAATATTTCTATTTTGAAATTTCAATTTCTAAAACTTTATATATATATTATAATATGATTATCTTTATAATGATGCAAGTGAAGATATTATCCTTAATTTAAAATTCACTTTAATCGGCTATCTAAAAATTTAAATGATTATTTGGCCGAATTTATTTCAATATGACTCGACTTTAAGTTTATTGATATCTCTAGCCTCAGAATTTGAATTTTTAATACCCTATATATACAAAAAATTTGTTCTTTAAATCATTAAATATTAAATTAGTTGATTATTATTATAAAATATTGCATATATTGTCTTAAAATTATCAAGTAGTTTATTTTTCGACAACATACTTGGCTTAAACCTAATGCAAACTACTCAAATGCAATTCCAATTCAAATTCGAGTATCATAGCAGTTTGTTAGTAATAGTGATTTTTTAAAAACGACACATAATGTAAATTAAAAAAATATTCGAAGATATCCTTATCTTATAATCTATGTATTTGAGTCGAAAAAGATATATTAGAAATCGATGAGATTAACTTTCAAATTTTTTATACTCAACAAAGATGAAACATATGAAGAAATTTGTTGTCATCTTTTATTTCTCGTTTTTAGATCTTTCTAACATTTTTTTCAATATTTATTTTCTTTTATATTATTTTTATGTTATTATTTCTTTTGTTACAAAAAATTAATTTATTTCACTATAAAAGGATGAGTTTTAATAAAAATTATCTGCATGCGAACTTTAATTATATTTTTAGTCTTTGGTTGAAATTATCTCATATTTTTCTTTTGGCTTTATCTAATCAACCTAAATAGGTGCTCACCCGACCACTTAAATTAAAAAATTGAATGATGTGTAATTTATATATAATCCGTATATAATATATGTATAATCGTGTGTTGTCGGTATATCATCTATTTATATTAGCTATAAAAAATAAACAATAAATATGACAGAATATTATGTAAATATTCCAAAATATTTTGGTTTTTTTGAGTGTATCCATGATATAACTTCTATTATAATAATTTTAAAACTCTTTACTAATGCTCAAAAGTATCTTATCTTTTTATTATCTTTGAATTAACAAAAGTAAAGAGTTTTTTCGAAATAATTTATTTATATTTAAAAAAAAATCACGTCATGCCAATTTTATATATATATATATATATACTCTTTGTTACACTTAAAAGCCGCAACAGAAATTATCAGTTAGAAACCAATTTATCTCTTGTTGAGTTTGGGAAAAAAAACTTTCACATAAAAAAAAACTAATATTCTTCAACAAAAAAAATATTATACCTTTGCAATATTGGCTTGACTACAGCTAAATAAAGCAACTTTTGTTTTTAATATTGATTAATTTTGTGAGGTTTCTTTCTCCAGTATGTGTGTTTATTTATTATATATGTAAGTAAACTTTTATTTGGTTTTGTAAACTCTTTTTTATTATTTAGATAAATATAGACGTGTACCATATATATAACATTTATTTTAAAAGAATTTCATTTGATTCAAATCTAACTACAGTGTTTCAAAGAACTATACTTATAAGATTTTAAATGTGAAAGAGTTTTATTGTTATATGGAGTAGTTTTTTTTTTTGCTAGAGGCGAAGTAGTATTTAAATAATTATAAAAAATAACAAAAGTTCCTAACATGATTGCATATGATCATTAACCGAATTAAGTATGATAANTATATATATATATATATATATATATATATATATAGAGAGAGAGAGAGAGAGAGAGAGAGATATTATATTAAAAGGATAGTAGCGAAGTATGTGGTTAAGCCAAGTGGCAAGCTAAAATGAAAAAATTTAGTTTTGGATATAATTAATAATTAAAATATATATCTATGAGGAATTGCATATTCTGTAACTTATAATTACCATATTTAGAGTAATATTATATGACAAATGATTTACTTTAAGTGGTGAGTTAAAGTAAGTATTAATTAGAGAAAATAATGTATTCATAGTTTAATTAAGGAAATGAATATTCATGATTTCCTTCCAAAGATAAAATAAAGTAAGCATTAATTGGATAACAGAATATAAGTACTATTAAACCAGGCAGAATCAATAGTTCATATCTAACATTCCTTGTTTTTGAAATATTATTTTTTATTTGTATTGTATCAAACTAATATATCTTTTATATTATTGCTTTAAATAAAATTTATGCAAATACCTTTTCCTGTTGAGCAAAGGTTCTCCGAATTTTTTGAATTAATGCTTTGAGTTAATATAGTTAAGAGAATGGCAAGAGAGATTCTTATATTTTTTCTTTTGAAATATACAATTTTCGCCAAATTTTTAGGTAATGAGAACAATATATAAAAATTATTTCATATTGTCATAAAAATGGACGGAAAAAAGTTTTTTTTCGAAACATGTTAGATATATATATGATTATGTTGTCATGAAAAACTAAATGATCATGATTTGTAATTTATATTTATAGCTTTCATATTTTTCATATTATATTAAAAGAAAGATAGTCAAGCTTCATATTAAGCGTAGTGAAAAAGTTACTTGGAACTTTTAGGATAAAATTTAAAAATATGTTAAATTTACTATATAAATGGGGAAAGTTAGGTCGAAAGCATACTTTTGGCAAATTAAAAGATCGTGAAAGGGAAGCAATCTTGGGAATTCAAATCAAAGGACAAAGAAAAGAAAATATTATATAGACGAAATAATCTAGCAAGGAGATATTTACTACAACGAAGAATTACTAAATTATGC